CACACATTCTTTCTAGTGCTCTACAAAGAGATGATCTGTTTAATAACAGAACATTATGTGGTTCTGGAGGTGTTCATTCACTGAGAGTCTACATGCTTTGTCTCTGCTGCCTAAAATACAATCAATCCTGGCCTCATTTTCCCCAGGGAGGCAAGTGAGCTGTAAGAGACCCAGGTAAGTCCATTCCATGTCAAGTCCTGGCTCTGCCACTCGCTGATTGTCTGAACTTAGGCAGGACGATGAGCTTTCTGGGTCTCAGCTTGCAGGTCTGACTTGATGAATAGGGTTATAACGATGGCTCTGCCTGAGGGCTGTTCAGAATCTGAAGAGGGAGGCGAGGCCTCCTCCCTAACTACTGGAGGTTGCCAGTCAGGGCTCGTGCCAATGTAAGCATGAGTCGTACAAGAAGATACAGCCTGGTGTATTCAGTGAACTGCCTCACAGAAGAGGAGAGACAGGGGCTGAGCCACAAAAAGACCGTGCAGAGCTGAGCTCTAAAGGTGGATATTCTAGGAGGAAAGAAAAAGCTAAAGAGATGGAACAGTTAGATAGTAGGTGGCTGAGGCAGGGAAGGAGAAAACTGGTCTTCATAAGGTAAATCTGGAGACACTATTTAGAGCCTATCAGCACACAGAGATGTGAAGTCAGAAGGACCAGTCTGGTTGTTGTAGAATCCAGAAGGGAGGGAGAAAAGCCTGTTCCAGAGTGAAGGCTGTGAGCAAGAAGGATGATGGATGGATGAACCTATAAACCCTGATTACTGTACAGACGTTGAGAAAATAACTCAGAGGTCTGGCACCTCAATAAAGAGATGGGTCTGTCCTAACCATTGTTAGGGCAGAAAACAGAGGACTAAACCTCAAATCATAGATTTACAGAGAACCATCCAAAAAGAAGCAGCCTCTGCGTCTTTCTACCCCATAAATATTCATTCCTCAGAGTTTAGTTTGATCCCTCCCGCCACCACCACCACGTAAAATACACTTCCTGCCTGGGTGAGCTCGTTCTTGCCCACTACCTATATGTTGGTGACTGCTCAGTTTATATCTCCTACCGAGACTCCATGAACATGGGACACCTAGAGCCTCCTGCCTCCTGGACTCCACTTGGAAGGCCTGAAGGTTTGTTCAGCTAGTCCACAATCAGGGGCATCCCGTTCCCCACTCACATCAGCACCCTCTCTGTGTATGACCCATCTGAATCAAGAGTACCACCAATACCCTAGAACTGAACCCAGAAACCTTGCCCTCACCCTTGATTCTTCCTTCCCTCCATGCCCCACTCCTCAACTGATTGCCTTCTCTAGTGGGTTTATCTTCTTCCTAAACATTCTTTGTCTTTATCTCTTTCTCTCCATTCCCAAGGCAACTGCTCCAATCTAGGATTTGCTTTGTCTCACCAGTATTTCTGCTGCCACCTCCTAATCGGTCTCTTGGTTTCTTGTCAGATCCCCCTAAAATCCTCTCTCAGCATGACCACCAGTGTGGTATTTCCTGCCAGCAAGACAGCTTGTGCCTCAGCCCTGGTCACAAGTCCAGGTCCTCCGGGGCTTCCTCCTTTCTTCAGGGCACAGGCCAAACTGCTTGGAACACAAGGCCCTTCAGAATCTGGTCTACTGTTCTCTGTCCTCACTGCGTTTTCACACTTTTCTAGCAATGATTTTTTTTTTTTTTTTTGAGAGAGAGAGAAAGAGAGAGAAGCCCACGCAGACTTTGCCCTGAGCTCAGGGCCTGCTGCAGGGCTCTATCTCATGACCCTGAGATCATGACCTGAGCCAAAATCAAGACCCTGGGCACTTAACTGACTGAGCCACCCAGGCGCCCCCTCCAACAGTGATTTTATACTCCAGCCAGAGCCAACCACTCACTGTTGGTCAAATCCGCAATTGTACATGTCACTCCCTTTGCTCAAATACCCCCATTCTCTTCCTCATGGGACTGGCAAACTCTAAATCTGTTTTTCAAGCTTTGGCTCAGTCTCCACTTCCCCTGGGGAGCCTTCTCAGCCTGTGGCAAATAGATGCCCTCTCTTGTGCTCCTGCTGCACCTGGCACTTTCCCCTCTAATCCTATCACGAGATGCAGGATGTTCGCTCATTCATTCACTCATCGGCTGTCCATGTTATTTACTGAGCCGGTGCTGGGGAGAGAACAGGGAGCTGAAGACACGTGATTCCTGACCCACTAGAAAAGGACGACGGCCACTGTTTGCCTGTCTGCCCTTGCGGAATGATTGATGATCCTGTTTCCCTGCGGCTCCAGGCCTTTGCTCTTGCTATTCCCCAGGCCAGGAGCACGCTCTCCAGTCGGCACATCTGGCTTCTCGGTCAGATTAGTATCTAGACTCAATTCCCCTCCTCCCCCTCCCTCTCTACCCTTCACCTAGATTTTCCGTCTCAGCAGCATGTATCACTTGCTTATTCGCTTCTTTGCCCATCTCTTCTTACTGGAACCTAAGCCGTTGGAGAACAGGGACCTTGCCATAGTCCTATTGCCCACAGAGCCTTAGGGACTTGTATGTGCCATTAGGGGCTCCCTAATGTGTGATGAATGAGTGGATGATTTTGTAGACAAGGAAGCCGACGTGGAAAAGTGAAGGGCTGGATGTGAGCATGAAATTCTTTAACTATAACCCTTCACGGAATCACGGTTATAGAATGGAGGGTGGCAACTGGAAAACAGTGACACAGCCTCCAGATACAGGAGGCAAGTAAGGGGAGGTGAGAGGAAACGTGCCGATGTCCTGGCAAGGACATTCCTGCTCTATAAAATGGAGAGACTTCTATTCACTCTCTTCTCTTTCACCATCGCTTTTCTGAACCTTTGTAGAATTATTCAGGAAACAACATCTCTCATGGGGTAAAGAAACATTTAAAATTTACCAATCAGCTTCATGTCAGCTTCCCTTTCTTCTATTATAAGAGAAAGTAAAATACCATAAATTTGAAAACAGCGACTTTAAGGTGTTAATATTTCAAAATACATTTATTGTTTGTCTATTCTTCTGTCAATCCCGCTTTTATCCATGTACACGGATATAAACATACAAAAGATGAATGTCTGGGATTTATCTAATATTCATGAAAGTTATTTCTAGCTGAAAAAACTTTGGTTTCCTTTTATTTTCTGTATTTTTCTGCATTACTTTAAAATTTTTACAGTGTACATGTTTTGTATCACTTTTGCAAAAAAAAAAAACAAATGATTTGTTTTTTAAAAAAACAATTGGGAGCAAATATACCAAAATGTAAAAGACAGCTAATTTTGTGGGTGTTATATGCAACTGATGAATCACTAAATTCTACCTCTGAAGCTAATAATACAGAATATGTTAATTCAATTTAATTTACATAATTTTTTAAAAAAGATAGTTGATTTTGCAAGGTAGAGGCCATTATGATATTTTGTATTTTTCAGGAATTTTTTTTTTTATTTTAAAAAAGGAAAATTGTGAATCTAAGATTAGGACTGTAGGGATCCAGAGAGGGCAAGCTGAGTCAAGGTCAAGGTTGAAGGAGTCCTAGGGCAAGAGTGTCTTTTCAGCAGGAGAGGCCCCAGTGAGGGCAGCTAACAGGAAGCGTCTGGTAGCCAGGGTCACGGCCCTGGAGAGGGAATTGAGGTTGGATTTGGAAGCAGGGCCTCCAGTGGCCTGGGGGCACCCCGCAGGCAGATACCGGCTTTTCCCCAGGTGATAACCTTGGTTCCTGGGAGCACGTTTGAGCAACCAGATCGCACAGCTCCTACAGCCGGCTGGATGGGCTGGATGGATGCAGGCGGTTGGCTACCAAAGCGCAGACGCGTCCAGCCCCGCCAAGGAGCCAGGCACCGAATAACCGTTCTGGAATTATGAAAAAAGCATCAGTTGAAGATTTTTTTTTTCTTTTTCAAGAGAGGGGAACGATTCACCTCGGGAAGAGGCTGTGGCAATGGGAAAAACTGAATATGACCCAAGAGGGAGGGAGGAGTGGGAGGGTAGAAATGATGGGGGAGGGTGTAGGCATTGTGTGGGGGAGACGGGGGATGGGGGAAAGCCTCTGCTTCCGTAATACTGAAATCATACATTTGCGTGTCCATCTTTTCACCAGACTGTGCCCTCCTTCCATGGTCTGTGCCCAGCTCGTCCTTGAGACCCTCCCCATCGCCTCGCAGGGCATCGGCTCCCCGTCGGTGCTCAATAAATGCTCAAGTGCGTCGGTCCAGTGCAGGGCTTACGAGGAGAAAGCAAGGAGGCCGGCGCTCCGCAGTTGCTTCGGAGGGGCTCTCGGGCATTCAAGGAGGGGGTGCGGTGGGGGTGGGGGACAGGCCTACTTTACAGCGGAGGGAGCGGTGCAGACAGCCGGCTGTCTACCCGGGGCTTGCCATCCTCAGCCCTCGGGGACGGACAGGGATGTCGGAGGAGGTGGGGAGCTGCGTGCGCCCTTGTCACCAGGCCCGCGGATGCTGGGTGGTACCCACGGAGGCGCTCGGGTCACTAGGGACGGAGCTAAGCCTGGGGTCTTCCCTCCCATCTCGGGGCACCTCGCTCCTTCGGTGTCACCGACCTCGCCTTCCCCATCGGGCCGGTGGGAAGGCTCCCTGCCCCCAGGGCGCCGGGATGGGGGGGAGGGCTGGGCTGGGAGAGGCAGCGCGCACAGCCCGGCGCTCGGCGTGCGGGCATCCCCGCAGGGTTCGCGGCCGCGGCACGCGGTGGGGCTGAGCTCCCGCGCGGTGCGCAGCGCTCCCCTCCCCTCCTCCCACCCCTGCTCCATCGGGCCTCCCGGCCGCGGCGCCCCAGGCCCGCCCCGCCTCCCCCTGCAGCCCTGGGCGCCCCGCGCTGCCCCCGGCGGCGGGCGGAGGGGCGCGCGGGGCCCGAGGACGCACGCGGCCGGCCAGGCGGCGCGCTCCCCCCTCCCCTCCCCTCCCTCCCCTCCCCCGCCCTGACGTCACGGGCCGCCCGCCAGCCCCGCGCTCGGGCGGGCAGAGCGCGTGCGGCCGCCGAGCACATGGGCCCGCGGGCCGGGCGCGCTCGGGGCGGGCGGGGGGCCGCGCGCAGCCTCGGGCCCCCGCGCCCCCCGCGCCCCCGGGCGCATTTCCACGCCGAGAGAGCGTCGGCAGCCCCGGCGACCTGCACACGCACGGCGGGACCCACCTTCCAGTAAGTTATAGGATTTTGCCCTCCGCGTTTCTGGGAACTCGCGAGCCCCGGCCTGGCGGGCTGGGCTGGGATGCGCCAGGAGCGGGGGGCACCTGGGCACCGGGGGGGACCCGGGGGCGGGGGGGGGTGTCGGATCCCCGCATGTGCGCCTTCACCGTGCACCGGCCTCATCCCCAGATTCGAGAGTGGCAGTGAGTTTGGGCGTCGGTGGGGGGCGGAGGGGGGGGAGGCATCCCATGCCCGTGCATGCCTAGAGAGAATTCGGGGTCCGTGCACTTGATGGAAGGCATGTTGCGACCCAGCAGAGCTAAAAATAGCCCCTCCTCCAATCAGTACCGACTTGGGGTCGCAGCTGCGGTTGGGAGGACCCTCGGGAAGAAGCGAGAGGTCCGTGCACCCTTGTGATGCTGCCTCCATCCTCTGACCACCGGGTGATTTTCACAAGCCCACCAACTTGTTTTTGGAAACTTTCTCTGCCTTGGCATTGCATTTACAGATTGCTGGTGGCCCCCCACACCCCACCCTTATCATGGCAGTCCTTTCTGGATGGCTTGTTGGCTTAACTGTTTCACCCTCCCTGGACTACCGTGCTCTTAGTTTTGCCAGTGTTGGGGGTGGGTATTGACTTTCAGGAAGGGCAGCCATGAGGCTGCATGTGTCCGGTGCCCGGATACACTGTGAATTTTTCCTGATACTTTGTAAGCGTGGAATATTCTTCTGCTCCCTGGAGCCCCTGACTTCAGGCTCTTCAAGGAGATGAGAGGCGAGGTGGGGGGGCAGGGTAAATCACTTGTGGGGGTTTTTAGGGAGAGGAGGGTGAAGTTTTGGTTTTCCTTTCTGGTCTTGTGTTTTCCAAAGCGAGGCTGGCAACCCCCTCTGGCCCACTTCACCACCGTGAGTCCTGCCTCCTGGAGCTGTTTAGCTGCGGGGAGGAAGCAAACCCTGGAGAAACGTGTGTTTGTGTGTGGTGGGTGGGCGGGGGCCCCAGGACGTAGGGGCTGTATCTGCTCTGCTCTTAGTCATAGGATGTTGCAGACCTATTTTGCATACTGGCGTTGACAAGTTGAGGCTTGTTCATTTGACACAGTCCTGTGGTCACAGCAAATCTCTCTAAAACTCTAGCCCGTGGAAAAGGTGGTTATATGGATCTTCTGAACCCTGAGCGTGGAACTTCCTGAAATATTTATTAGGAGAAAAACCTTCCTGGAGGCAGCAAAAGGACAAACAGAACGGCTGGCCGGGCCGAGCCTCGTGGCCTGGTCTCCACGACTTGAGGGGACTTACATCTGAGAGGTGAGGACGACCTCGTGGCCTCAGCCGTGGGCAGGCAGCCTGGCCCGAATTCCTCGTGTAGGTCTGGCGATGGAAAGGCTGGGTAGGTCCGGTGCCCACCCTAATGCTGTACCCGCTGAACTCCCAGAGGGGATTTATTATGTGGTCCCGTTGCTGTTTGGCCTGCTGAAGTGTGCTGTTTATTGTTGTTGCTGCTTCACCTACCCTGTGGGCAGAGTGCTGCATAAACCGGGCTTCTCTTGAAAAGTAGACGGAATCAGCTTCTTTTTCGGATTTTCCTCTCTCTTCCTGCCCTTCCCATGCTGTCCGGTGTGCTCTTTCTGTCCGTGGCTGGAGCATTTTTTAGGCCTGGAAGGAGGGAGTTCTTTTTTCTCACTTCTAAGTTATCTGACCCGCACTGGTGGTGTCTGTGATTGCTGGTCTGAAAACCCGGATGAATTCTCACTGGCCACATCCAGTCTGTCCCTTGTGCCTCAGCTTTTTTCTTTCTTTCTTTTTTTTTTTTTTTCTTTCTTGGATGGCAGGCAGGCAGGCTGGCCGGGCTCGGGGCCTTCTGCCGGCTTGCGATGGACACTTTTCTGGGACAGCTCCGCTCAAGAGGCTCCTGGAGGATGAGACACCCCTACTTTCGTCTTTATCTTCTTTGTGTCCCTGGATTTGGTCAGCTCAATGACAAATCAGCCCTGTCCTGAAGAAGCCAAGGACCCTGGATGGTTGCCCGGTCCATATTGCCTGGCGAGGTGGCCATGGGCCTGCTGCAGGCTGCTTCCACGGTGCTTGTGTGAAGTCACATGCCTTCCTGGATGGATGCTTGGGCTTTTTATTTTGTGTTCCTTTTCACCATTGGCCGTAGACACATCACTCTCCTTGTTTTTGTTCTTCTCCTTCCCTCCTATCGCTGGTTTATAATGTCTTTAAGAGACTAGGACTCCCTTGTTCTACATCTCGCCTTTGTAGGGAGACCCGGGTCCAAGGTGGGAACAGAGCATCATTTGATGAGCCCTGTTGATGGGGAGACTTCCATACTCTGCTTAGGAAACCTCAGAAATTCTGGATGCTGCTCAAGATGGTCCTTTGGTAGGTGCCTCCTTGGTCTCTTCTGTTTTTCTAAGTAATCTAAGCAACTAATAACTGTAGTAATAATAATTGTAATAATAAAATGATAGTGGTTCCTGTAATAACAGGAAGTTGTAGATCATGCCAAGTATGTTCTTTGCACTTTTATGCCCCTTACAACCTCACCGGGCAATTATTATAAAATGTCTAGCAATGATGAGGTTCTTACCATGGGCCAGTGTCAATTTTAAATGCTTTAAATGTATTATCTTATTTAACCTCCCAATAATCATATAAAATAGAATTATTATTATTATTACTAATATTATCTTATTTAACCTCCCAATAATCATATAAAATGGGATTATTATTATTATTTTATTATTATTACTACCAGTATTTTGCAGATGAAGAACCCACAGCTCAGAGGGTTTGAAAATATCCCTTCAGGTCACACAGTTGGGGAGCAACACAACCATCACGATTTGGCCCAGGGCCTGCTCTCAGAAGTCAGAGGGCAGTGAAATTAAAAATAAGCAAGGGATGCTTGTTGGCCTGGAGCAGGAGGACTCAGGCAGGATAGAAACCGTAACATCATGTACAAAGACACCACTTGCTTGGGCTGCCTGCCTCTTCCGCCCTGGGGAAGCACGCTGTACCAAGTGGGGCCAAGGAGTCTCAGAAAGACCTTCAGTGTCTGGAAAGCTCTGGCCCCAGGGTCTGGGGAACAAAGCCCCTGGGGTCCGGGCAGGAGCCTCAGATATGGTTCAGAAACTATCAGCATTTGTTAAGTGCCACATCCAGGCACCCTGCCTGACTTTGTGACCAGCATTTAATTACTATCAACTCCACAGCAGATGGGAGATGGAGCTCTTTTAGCAAATGATCACATCTTCCCTTCCCTCACATTCTTGCAACTACTCAGAGTCCCTGCCTTTGTCCTGAGTGCGTGTAGCTCCTGTAGCTACTGAACCTACCCATAGAAGATTGTGGTGGCCCCTCTCAACCCCACCAGTAAAAACAGTAACAGTATGGGTCATAAAACACAAGCCTTACATTCACGAGGCCAAAATGGTCTCAGTCATTTTTATTGGACGAATTCTGAGTTGTCTTTCCCTTGTTTTCTCTTCCTCTTTTTGGGGGAGTAAAGGTAGAGTGTGTTGTTTTGCTGGCATCTGGCGGGTCATCTGAGCCCCAGGATTACTTGTTTACCTGCCTCTTTTTCCCTTGCTGACCATGGGCTGCTTGAGAGCAGTGGAGGGCGGGGTGGGGAGGGGCAGGTGGGCATCTTCACCTGTCTGCTGCCTAACACAGCCCTGGTGCTTAGTTGAATCAGGCGGTTATTCAAGGAAACAAGCAGCCCCCAGTCTACAGTCACTGTCTTAGAGGTGATACACTCCAACGTGGTAGGAAGTGGAGGGTTTGCCCTGCTGGACACTGAAGAAAGAGAAGGAAACCAGCTAGCAGCATGAGGCATCTGGGGACGGTTAAGACGTATACAGATCAGGGTTATTTTGGGGCAAGTTACTTCACCTCTGTAAGCCTCAGTTTTGTTATCTATAAAATGGGGATGATACAGCACCACCTTCACAAGTTGCTGTGAGGAGGAAGTAGGGGATGAAGAGCAGGCATTCAGCAGAGTGCCCGGGCTCATAGTAAACCCTCAAAAAAAGTTAGCTAATATTACTGCTACAATTACTGGGTTTTATTACTTCCTGTGGCTGCTTGGAGTAGTGGTTTCTGAATACATTTTAATGTATTTAATGTTAAAAAAGAGGGTAAGATGGCAGTGACTTCACTAGAGGTCTTTGCAAGCATCTGAGAGACAGGCTGGCTGTTACAAAAAAGAGATCAGCCATCAGGGAAGCTGCAGGCACAGGTCTGTGAAAGGACAGGGATGGGAGGTGCCCCTCAGGCCTCAGCCTGTCTTTGCAGGTTACTTAACCTCTCAGCTTGCTATCCAGGGAGAATGGTTTTTCCCTCTCAGGGATGGTGCAGAGCACTTAGCACAGAGGAAGTAAGTTCTTGAAGACAGAAGAGCAGTTGTCATTATTTATTATTCTTTAGGACACCCTTTTCCTGGTAGCTTTGCTACTCTGCACAAGATTGATTGATCCCATCCATTCATTCATTTGCTGAGTAGTGTGCCAGGCACTGTTCTAGCTGCCAGAGATCCAGCAGGAAAAGAAAGAGACAAAAATCTCTGCCCTTCTGTAGTGTCCTTTCTAGTCCAAGCCATGCAGCGGGGGGCAGGATGGTCCTCAGAGGGCGATGTGGAATGGATGGAGGCAGTGCAGGCCGACACTGCACCCCCTCTGTGTGGAGTGGTCCTGGCCCCGCCGTGCCATTGGGCACAAGGTGCTTAGCACCAGGCCTGGCATGTGGTAGTTGTTATATAAGTCGTAGTTGCTATATTTGTATTATCCCATTTACCCTCCTGAGATTTTTCTTTGTGGCACTGCTTATGGGCTGAATGTGTCCTTCCAAAATTCATATGTTGAGATTCTGACCCCCAGTGTCATGGTGCTTGGAGGTAGGGCCTTTGGGAGGTGATTAGGGATAGATGAGGTAGGGTAGAGGGCCGGTCCTCATGATGGGGTTACTACATTCATAAGAAACTACGCCAGAGAACTTTCTTTCTCTCTCTGTGT